ATAGGCATAACTGCTTTAGCGGATAGGCAGTTGCTTTATGCGGCGATAAAAGTGGCATGGTATGGGGGAAGGCTTTTAAATAATTTTTTTTAGTATTTGAAATGTGGACGTGGCCCTATCTATTAACATTTTGTAGGCGTCGTAAAAAAATTTTAACTGGACTCGTATGTTTGTATTCTTACGTCCTATTGCAATCTTCAATAATTTTTTTGTCTAGAAAATAAAAAATATTAATTAATATTTCAAAAAATTAATATTGCATGGTTTTTATTTCTTTCGCCAAAAAATAATTATTATTATTGAGTTTAAATTTTTGCCATACGAATAATTACACAGGTTTACAAAAAAAAAGTGTATGCATATTAAACCAAACCTATATATCCCTATGTTATTCGACATGCTGAATGCGAATCCGAGGTCCGTTAGCCTCCATCACGTCAGGTTCGTGGTCATTTGAAGGTCAAGTAGGGAAAAATTCATTGAATAAACCTGAAAATTCAATAAAATTCATCGGAATTTGACCTTGGCATGACCTCCAAATGACCTTGAGGAATCAAGGGACATCCATACTCGGTGGCAGTGACAACAAAAACACACTTTTTTTTATTTTTATTGAATAAATTTTATGTCCTATTTGACCTTCAAATGACCTCGGAGCTGACATTTTGGAGGTTAACGGACCTCGGATTCGGGTTCAGCGAATGTAAAACCTTATGCATATGAATTTTCAGGTTTATTCAATGAGTTTTTCCCTACTTGACCTTCAACTGACCACGAACCTGACGTGGTGGAGACTAACGGACTTCGGATTCGCATTCAGCGTGTCGAATAACATAGCGCTGAAAATACATGAAATGAAATGGCTGCCGAGATGGGTCGATCTGCCACTCAGGTATCGATATAATGTAATATTTTTTGTAGTGTGATATCTTATCAAAAAACTGTATTATAAAATTCAGAAAAATAGGCGTGTAATCATCTACTTATTATAAAATCGTTATGAAACTTAGCACATACTAATATAGTTTTTGTTTTTGCTAATCTATGGCTATGTCGAAGGGCATGGCTCCTGAAGAAAGAAATGTAAAAAGAAAATTTTGAAAAGAATGTTCTTTTACGTCTTTTTAGCGGTTAGGGCTCGTTATGCTCCTTTCTTCACTCGATAGGGCCAAGATTCGATTCCTAGTGTGATCAACAGGTCGTAAGCGCTGAATTTTGCCGGCTATATATGATGATATCGAGATGTATGAGGATATGCAAATTTCTTATCAATGTGTAAAAAGTTATTTTTTTTTGTGTAAATGGTTGTGACAGAACGTCATATTTGGGCAAAGATATTTTATAATCATATTTAAACACCAGGTGTAAATATGCAAGCGCACTAAGTAGTTACATAGTTCATACATATGTATGTACATTAGGGTGGTCAAAAATGCATTTGAAAGAATTCTTAAACATCAGAATTTTTCGATCGGAGAACTCTGTTTCTCTTCAGGAGATTCTCAATAATATCCAATTATTTAGTTAACCATTTTTTCATAGCAACTATATTTTAGAGGTCCGCCAAAAACCTCCGAAAATGGCAGAAAAGGCAATGGGGGGGAGGGGGGACCAAAACATCTTTAGTATTAAAAAATGGTTAAATAAACAATTGGGTATTGTTATTGGAAGCCTATTGGTTTTTAAGAATTCTATACCATTTCTACGAAAAGTTGTGGTTTCTCCATATAAAATACATGGAACACTTTGAGCGCTTTCAGCGACTTTTAAACATTTTTTGATTTCAAAATAAAGAATAAGGGTCTAATTTTTTCGATATAGAACAATCCTAGGAGGTGAGAGCATTAAAATACCGACTTTACTTTTTTTTGCGCCACCCTAATGTGCATGCATCATTGATTGCTTGCTCGAAATAAAGTGGCTGCCGCGACGAAAGTCGAGGCTGAGGAAAAAAATAATATCCACTCACTTAAAAATCAGTGCGCGCAATGATGACATCAGCCACAAAACAATAATAGCAACAACTTTATTAACTGGTACTGTCACATAATTAGCAGCAGCAGCACTACAAATAATAAAAACAGTAACAGAGTCATTTGTGTGATCTTGCCAGGTTAAACAATGAAAGAAATCAAAGCAAAACAAAACAAAGACGGTGTTCACATTTAAAATAAAAATAGAACCACATTTCACATGCATATACAAGTATGTATGTATGTAAATAACATGTTTATTTGTTATTGTTTTCTGGCATTCGTACACATATATGAGGGTCAAGTCGTCAAACTACGGGCAGAAGCGTTAATGGTTCATCGTACTGTTTTCGTGTTCGTTCATTTTAATCTTTTGTAAAACTACATCCCTGCCAGAAGTCCAGAATATATTACGCGCTTACATCCCCTTCAGCAAGAAGGGCAAATTGAGTTGTCTTGTGTGCCGACATTACCTGCTAATTCCGCGGGATCTTATATCCAGGTTAAAAACACTTCTGTCAGATGTACCAATATAGGTTTGACGAAAATTGTATTGCCAAACTATTCAGATAATACCTTGAATGCAGCTTGGTGGTCACCTTCCTGACCCCTTTTGCGCTTTGCAGTCATCATTGCATATTGCAAAATGCATAAACCCGAGCTAAGTATTTGGGTTAAGCCAGCACTCATCCACCAGGGAACTCAACATTGTAGTATCTTCTCGCCAAAGGCAATAGTGGCGTACTAAATATAAAATGTATTTTTTTAATTGTATAAATAAACCTAGATAAAAGTGAGGCGATTTCATAATTTTTTTCCTCAAAAAAAATTTTTTCCAAAAATAATTTTTTGTATATTTAATACGATTTTTTAAAATTTGGTAAAAAATATATTTTTTCTCAATAAATTATTGTCTTGAAAAATCTCTACAATTTTTTCTCAAAAACAAATTTTACAATTAAAATTGAATTAAATGCGTATATGTAGATCTTTCAAGCATTTTTATTCATATTATCAGAAAATGCATAAGCAAACGCTGGTGATTAATAAAATATTAAAAAAAACCAACATTTCATTGAATACTAGGGTCTTTTCTTTTTCCATATGTATCAAATTGATGCACAACGTACTTTGTGTTACAAAAAATTTCCGATGGATGCGGGTTAAATATTAAATCTACATACGTCAAATTAAAATTATATTTTTTTTTTCAAAACAAATTTATCTTTTCCGTAATAATTATCTATTATTTCTCCAAAAAATCCGAAAATAATGTTTAAAAAAAATGTTATTTTTTGAATGTCTGGTTATATAAATTTCGTGAAATAATTTTTTTCACGAAAATTATTTTTTCAAATAAATAGTAAGGTTGTTACAATTCTGATACAAATTGATATTTTTTTCTTAAAAAGTAGTTTTCCTAAAACTTGCGATTTAGTTTTAATAAAGAAGGAATGTATTACTTATAATTTTTTAAAATTTTTGTAATTAACTTTTTTTTGCCAAATGTTAAGATATAATTATAACAACATAAAAACCAAACCGTCAAAATACCATATTTTTTATGAGTGCCGAGCTTTTTCGGAAACAGGTTTCCCTTAGTTCTAAAGGGGGTTAAATAAATATTGTCAATATAGCTCACTCCGGTTTATAAAAAAATTATATTGCTAGAACCCAGATTAAATTCCTTGTCCGAGCAATATTTCACCAAAGTTATAGATCCCCTCAAACACTCTCTGTGAAAGTGGTTCTTCAAAAAACTGAATTGTTTTCTTGGAGTTACAGAAGATACATTTTAAATAATAATATAATAATAATAATAGATTGGCGCTTACACATATGTTAGTGTTTGGCCGAGCTTCTCCTCCGACTTGTGGCGTGCGCCTTGATGTTGTCACACAAAGCGGAGGGACCTACCGTTTTACGCCGACTCCGAACGGCGATTGTATTTTCATGAGAAGCTGTTTTTCATGGCAGAAATACACTCAGAGGTTTGCCATTGCCTGTCGAGGGACGACCGCTGTTAATAAAACCCCTATTTTCTATGTTTATTCGATGTTGCTTTGACCAGGGTTTGAACCCAGGTGCTGATGAGTGAAAGCGCGCACTGCTTACCACTACACCACAGCGGCCGACATACATTTTAAATACATTACTGAAAATTTACCTAAATACTTGAACATACAGTGGTCAAAATAATGATTCGTACAGTGATTTATTTTACAATATTCGCAATGTTTTTCATAGACATTATTTATACGCTAATTTTTCACGAAAATATAGTTCATATTCTAACAAAAATCATATAAATTACATTTTCAAACTTTTTCAAAACTTGAAAAAAAATCAATAAATTTCCATCAAAATGCCAAAATTTTAATTCAGAATTAAAAAAAAAAGTGAGTATGCAGTTTTGTAGCTCATTCAAAGTGCAAGTTTCATGATATTTGGTGTTTTCTTCTATATAACGGCGGAGCATAAAAGTAGTTTCGCATGCAAGAAAACGCTCAACATCATTGAGAAAAAAATCTCAAAGACCAACGGTAATTTTAGAAAAAAAAAATCTTGACATTTTTGTAAAAAGTTTTTTAGAAAGTTTGAAATTTTAATTTATATGGGTTTTTGTCCCAATACGAACTATATTTTCGTGAAAAATTTATGAAAAAATGATATTGAAAAACATTGCGAATATTGTAAAATAAATCACTGTATCTACAAATAATTATTTTGACCACTGTATGAACATGCACATGTACATATATAAGTATATAGAGTTAGTCATCAATACTATCGATAAAACTAAATAAATATGCATTATAGTTCAATTATCAGCTTCGCTTTCAATTCGATTTCTCTGATGTTTTTTTTCATATCACTTACACGACGCCTTTTCCCTCGTTTCTTACACATTTAGGTACATATAATTGGGTTATTTTTTTTTGTATTTATTTATTTTTTTTCGATGTTTAAGCTCGTCTACCGCTCGCAAGCTAACCAATCAACCGAACCACTATCAAGCGGCTGACTGTGTTCGCGACGGCGCGCCGGCATTTAGCTTAAAACACCTTCTCAGATCACTTGGCAGTTTCAGTTTTACTTTGGAGGCGAGTAGTTCATATTCACTGAGCTTTGTCTTACAATTGGGGAAAAAAATTGGTTGTAAAAAATTTAAATATTTGTTTGTGTTGTGTTAAGTTTCTGGCAAAATGAAATTTGCCATTTTGTTGGCATTGTCGCTGGCCGCTTTGGCTACAGCCCAAAATGCGGGCAACACACATCTTATTTGCTACTATGATGGCAACAGTTATGTGCGTGAAGGTAAGGCCATAAAAAAAAACAAAAACAAAAAGAAAATTAAAAAACCAAACTCATACATTATACCAAAAAGAAGGGAGACAAAATTATTTATTTGATTATGTTTTAAATTTCATACCAAAACCACAGTGTAAGCGTTTGTTAACTCTGCCAAAGCAGTTGCATATTTTAACACAGTTCTACGTTCTAAAGCGAATTTTAAGTGAAATCGAAAGTGCTTAAGCTTCAAATTTCGCTTTCCTTAATTATTCTAGAAATTCATAGAGCAATTTCCTGCTTAAAAATACACTTAAGTTGTTATTTTTATATAGTTTAAAAAATATATATAAAAAAGTACAAATAAAATTAGATCGCTTTATATGTATTTAAATTTACACAGAAGCACAGCACTAAACATACATAAATATATGCACATACATATGTATGTACGATATGTATACAAATAGGCATGTGTACCTACATACGTAAAATTATATGTTTATAACATGCTTACTATGTATGTATGTATTTATATACTAAATATGTACATGTAAATCACATCACTTGTGCTAAAGGTTATCAAACGCCGCTTGAAATCAGGTTTTTTTTATTATCTCTCAAGACATAGCATACGAGATAATCAACTTGAACGTGTTTATTCAAAATAAAAATAATAAAAATATTGATAATTAATTATGCCAACTCAGCAGAAGAGATAACCGGAAATATTGTACTGTAAACTTCCTTTGTGATTTTATGATAATATCATGTGGCTCGGGGAACCCGCAAAATTTAGAAAAAAATTTAAGAGATTTTCAATTCTAGCTTAAATATTTAAGTACATATCTATATATATTGTTCCTGAGCGGTTCAGTTCTGCAGCTCTTATTACTTTCTCCAACATCAGATTAAAGATTACTTTAACTAATTTTCAAAAAGCCGACACTTAACTAAAGTCAAAAGGGGCTAGAGAAACCCTCACTGGCTCCTCAGTCACCAGCCGTGATTCTGCCTGCTGGATCTTTCCGTCAGTCTATCCATTTCTATCGTTTATATCTAACCGCCACCCACTTCCATATCTAATCTGCAACCCAAAATTGAGTTATGTTAGACTCCAGTGGTTAAGAGGCATAAAATGCCTTCGATTTTCTAAGGCTTATGTGGCATCAATGAAATCACATTATATCGCTACCTCCAAAATATTGTTGTTTATTTATTTATTTTATTTTATTTTTTTTTTTTGAAGGAGGGACGACGGCATACAATTATTACGGTCATCTTCGCTCAAACACTACATCCTTATTTTAAGAAAACTATCTATGTATGTAACTTTAAATGTGCTTAATACTTGTCAGCGTTGATTAACAAGTACAGACAGCAATTTAAATAAGCGCCAGACGTTGATTGTTGCTCAAGAATAAAATGTGTCACAGCGAGCAGTGCGATAACCTCTATGTGATCAATTTCAGGAGTATGTACATTAGACTGCATCGCCGAAAAAAGTTGCGGTTTTTCCGCCGGGATTACAAAATTTATCATATTTTAAGACGTCCAACAAAATATTTCGGAAAAATATTAAGATTTAAGCGAGCTGGACCGATTTGAAAATACCTCCAAAAATGGAGTTGTTGATGAATAAAAATAGTTTCTTAAAGAACTTTTTGAACAAAGTCCCCTCAGATGGCAAAACATATTAGGCTTAAAGAATCTGTATGAAAATATTTAAAAATCTTTTCAACGGAATCTTAATAATGAGATTTTTGATGATGTTTTTTTTTTCTTTTATCAAAGATTGATTTACGAAAAACTTAAATAACTGGGCCAAAACTATTCTGATTTAGACTTATGGGATCTTGGTGAAAGGCGTTTTCCCACTATTATTATTTATGTGCAAAAAAAGTCAGTCGTGTCCCAATTTTTTTTTTTTTTTTTTAAATACCAACACATTTTCATGCAACTTTGGATGATGTTCGTTCATCCTACCTTTCTCTTTCATCCTTTGAATGAGCTTATTAGCAAAGAAATAAAAAGGGTGAGAAAATACCTTTCCAATGGTATCTCACAAGTCTAAATCGGGAGAGTTTAGGCTCAGTTATTCAAGTTTTTCTTATACCAATCTTTGAAAAAAGTTAAAAACATCATCAAAAATCTCATTATTACGATTCCGTTCAAAATTTTTTTATTTATATTTTTTTTTTTTATATTTTTATGTAAGTTTTTTAAATTTAAACCGTTTTGTCATTGGAGGGGATTTTTTCAAAAAACATCTTTAAGAAATAATTTTTTTCATAAAAAACTCCATTTTTTTTTTCGCATGGGGAGTGATGCAGTCTAATGTCTTGAAAATGTTTAACATATTTGTATCTCGAGATTTGAAATTATGTACACATCAATTTTTTCTCTGGTCTTGCATTTATTAAGCTTATGAAAAATTAAGAAAACTAGAGTATATAATTATGATTGACAAGTTGTTTACGAAATTCCTATTTTTTGTTGATATCTGTAACAGCTTCTGTATGAACAGTAGAGGAAAAAACCTAGTTCCCAGAGATTCGCAACTTCCTCAGGCAGAGCAGACAAAATAATTTGTTTACCATTATGAATTTGGATGAGGCTGAAATTAATATCTCCTTAACAGATACCAACATAGGGTATTGCAATTGAACTTTCAACGATTTGCATACAATTAGCCTTCAATTTTTCACAATCATCTGTGATATGTGTTTTTTTTATTATTTACAAATTGACGTCATTAGCGAATTTCGAAAGTGGAGCAATATGAATAATTTCAATTTATTGGCTGACGATATAAACACCTTCTTTATTATTCATCAAAAGATTCGCAGTATTTAAGAGTCCTACTGATTATATTACAATTTTTAGCGAACACTTATAAAACTTATAACATAGACAGACGACAACGCGACGATTAACGGCGCAGTTGATCCGATCAAAATTATAGCCTGACAGTATTGGGAATTGAGTGAGCCGCGAGGTCGTTGGGGCGAATTCCACGGCCAGCACGTACACAACTCTGCCAACTCCACATCCACCTACGTTTATTTTTTGGTCAGTACTGCCATCGAAAATGTCCCTGATGCGCTTTGCTTTTGAGAATTATTCTCTGGACTTAATCCGCATCAACTGCACTTAATTTCCGATACGAAGGTAAAGAAGTGACAAGTTATTCTTTTGTCTCACGTAGATCTGAAGTACATTCCACAAATTTCGTGTCTAGCATTAGAATAAATTTGGAAAATATTTAAATTTTTTAAAGGTTTTGATTTTTTTTTGCATGAATGGTATTGCTTAACGGGAGATGTACAAATAGCGAAATGTTGCAATTGTTTAAGTAATTCACTTGCAATCAATTAAGCGTCTGTCTCCCACTTGAAACTTTATCTTCCATCCACTATTCGTAATTTTTTTTTTTTAGTAAAATCTGTACAAACGCAAACATGGAGACAGTCTACTACGGTCTGGTATAATTAAAACTTCAATATTGCATAAGCTGTTGGGGTGATGAATTGTTTTGGAAGTTGATAATTCTGCCGGTGGTGAACATGGTGATGAACATCACTGGATAAGTTGCTAGCTAATTCTAAACTAACCAAAGTTGACTGCTGTCATCCACACCCATTAAAACCCTGGAAACACTTCTTAACTATCTACTTGTAGACCTTGTCGGAAAGCTTCAGGCAGTCTGAAATGCTTTAAAATTAAGTCACAGAATCGGTCACACCAAAATTCTAAGCAATTACCTCGAACTTTTAGGTCCCTGGACTACGACGTTGTGTCTCCCTCTCTTCAAAGGAAGTTTTTCGCACGTATTCCTTCTAGAAATTACCTTCAAGATAATATATATCCGTCTACGCGGATTACTCCAAACGAAATATAATAGTAGACGGCGGGATATTTACACTCGAAGGACTTCTTATTGCATCCCTGTTTTAGACTGTCGGAACAATCCATTTAGGGGTGCGAAAATGGATTAATTGACACTTAGTCGTTCAGACAAAAAAAAAGATGGTCAGAAAAACCTACATGTGGGACGACCCGACAAATGTGGCCCAGCTTTGATAAGAAAAGGTTCAAGCAGGTTTTGAAATAAACCGTTTTACACCTCGCTCGTTAAAATATTCCATTAAACTTGTTAATTAAACTGATCTTGAATTTTCATACAGGTGGCAACCCTCTTCAAAAATATTTTCGAAATGATGTTTTCTTAGACCTATCCTGGATTTGATTCCAGTATGCAATATTTTATTGTTGAATAAGTAGATTTTGAGCTCCAAGACAGGTGGCAACTCTCTTAAAAACCATCTTCAAAATAAAGCTTTCTTAAATCTCTCTCGTTTTATAGCCAGTTAAAAATATTGCTTTTAAATTGATTTCAACATTTTCACCAGGTGGCAACACTCTTCACAATTATTTCAAAATAAATTGTTTTAGAATCCCTTTCGTTTAACATACACCTGTTTTAATATTTTAATTGCCCTATTCATAAATTTATTTTAACTTTTGAAAAAGGTGGCAACTCCCTTCAGTAATTTTCCTATTTGCTAATCCTAGTCATAACCTATCGTTTTGCCTTCTATTCGTACCACTAAATCACAAACTTTCATAATTATAATATTAGTAGGACAAGGAAAGTGAGAAACTAGATAGATTTATTTTATGAAATAAGTTGCATGAATTTCAAAAATACAGCTACACATTTTTGTTTAAATTAAAATAATTTTATGTATAGACGGGCTGTAATTTTTACAATTTTAAAGTTTAAAGTTCCGATTAAATACAACGACTGTTTTATCGATCACATGTTATATGCATGGACTCGAAAACGTCGGTACTGATGTTTAACTGGATGGTATTTAGTGTTAACCAGACAATGAACAACCGACCCCTTAAATATATAAAAAACGGCATTTTTATTATGCCTGATATGTATTTAAATTCTAACAAAAATTATTTGGATCAACAGTAATGCAATTTTACCTACAGAAATACCTACATACATATGTACGTTTACTGTACTTTTTGTTGAATTAAATTTGTACTTCAATTTAATTTTTACGTGGTAGCTGTCACAAGATCAATTACTTTCAATTGAATTGCTTCCGAGAAAATTTCGAACCGGCTTTCAAGGTTCGTATGTAGGCGGTTGTAGGCAAGTTAAGCTGTTATTGCCGGCTGTGCTGGCAATTTTACACAACATAAACAACAACAGTAGGGTAGGTGAGGACAGGCGAGGGAGGTGACGTATGCGACAGATATTCTGTTGATTCAAAAATGATTTATAGCGAATTTCAAGAAAAATTAAATATTTATTCATTCACCTTGTTTTGTGTCCTTAAATTTTAATGGCCTAATTCATAAAAAATAAAGTAGGTTTAAAGAGCTTTATAAATTGACGTTTTCATACATTTTTCAATTTATAAACCTTTTATAAAGCTACTTTATTTTTTATGAATAAGGCGATAAATATTTATTTATACTTTTTCTCTACCTTTAAGGCGAGGATTTAAAAGCCACCACACCCAATAAGCATATGATTTGACGCACCTATTCCAGCTATCATACTCAAAATTTGGATTTCAAATCTTTACATATATACATATGTATGCATGTATGTACGTATGTGCATTACACGTACATATACATATACTCTATACTACATACATAAATTCGCGAGCTTTGTATAATTTTATGACAAACAACAAAATTTCAGTTTTTAAACATACGTGTATAGGCTTACAATTGAAAGCCTTACAACCACAAAACCACAAAGCCACTTATGGCTGACAATCAGCACTAATAATTCTGATAAAATAGTAAATTCAATGCTAAAATTCCCAAAGCGCATGCTTAACCGCATTAGAATTGTGTATTCGTTTCGCTTCTCAGGAAAAATGCTTTGACTGCCATATTTGAGAAATAAAGCTTGAGAGCATCTAATTTGTATGCGGCAAGCATGTAAAGTGATGCTAATTGCTTCAGCAAAACAAAAAAACGCAAACAATAAAAACAAATAACGAAAAAGCAAACAAGCAAAACTTAATGGAAAAAATTTCAATCTTTTTTTTTGTTTACAATGTTTTTGCGTCAGGCAATGCCTTGATTTAGGTTTCGCACGTTTTTTTTTTTCAAACAACAACAGCAACACCAATAAATACTAATTTACATTCAACGAGCTTTTTACACAATTGCATATAGCTTTCCCCGACTTTGAGCTGCCTCACAAATCTGCACGCGTATAATAACAGCAATTAGCGATTACTTGAAAAAAAATTGTCATAATGCGATACTTTCGCAACTTCCTCCGAGTTGCGTAAAAAACCTGTCATAATCTTACACTTAGTCATATATTCAATTAACCGCCCGCCTATGATTTTATTTCATTTGCCCGCAGGTCTCTCCAAGCTCACCACCAACGATCTAGAACCCGCGCTACAATTCTGCTCACATCTCATTTACGGTTACGCCACCATTAGCCCAACATCTAACAAGCTTGTCAGCGGCAACGACAAACTCGATTTGGATATTGGCTCGGGACTTTACCGCACTGTTACCAGTTTCAAGAAGAAGTTCCCACATTTGAAGGTATTGTTGAGCGTTGGTGGCGATAAGGACGAAGTCGATCCAGATAGCAACAAGTACTTGACCCTCTTGGAGAGCAGCAATGCACGCATACCATTCATAAATAGCGCTCACTCGCTGCTGAAGACTTACGGTTTCGATGGTCTCGACTTGGCTTGGCAGTTCCCCAAGAATAAGCCAAAGAAGGTGCACAGCAGTATTGGTAAATTTTGGAAGGGTTTCAAGAAGATCTTCTCCGGCGATTTTGTAGTCGATGAGAAGGCTGAGGAACACAAAGAAGAATTCACAGCGCTTGTACGTGAATTGAAGAACGCTTTCCGTCCAGATGGCTACCTGTTGGGTCTGTCTGTGTTGCCCAATGTGAACTCTTCGCGTAAGTTTTTTTTTATTTTTTTTTATCTTCACCGTTTAGAATAATCTTACTAATATCCTTTCAATTACAGTCTTCTTTGACGTGCCCGCCATCGTGAACAATCTGGACTACGTCAACTTGCATGCCTATGACTTCCAAACACCCGAACGCAACCCTGAAGTAGCTGACTTCCCAGCACCCATTTATGAGCTGAATGAGCGCAATCCTGAATCGAATGTAAACTTCCAAGTACAGCACTGGTTGAACAATCATTGCCCTGCCACTAAAATCAATGTTGCTATTGCCGCCTATGGACGTGCCTGGAAATTGACTAAAGACTCTGGACTCACCGGCTTGCCACCAGTAGTTGATACCGATGGCGTTGCACCAGCTGGCACACAGACGCAAAAACCCGGCCTACTCAGTTGGCCTGAGGTGTGCGGCAAATTGCCGAATCCAGCCAATCAGCACTTGAAGGGTGCCGACGGTCCATTGCGCAAGGTGGGCGATCCAACTAAACGCTTCGGCAGCTACGCTTACCGCTCGGCTGATGATAATGGCGAGAATGGCATTTGGGTGGGCTATGATGACCCCGATACTGCAGCCAACAAAGCGTCGTTTGTGAAGTCCCGAGGTTTGGGCGGTGTCGCTTTGATAGATTTATCATTCGACGATTTCCGCGGTGCTTGCACTGGCGATAAATATCCCATTCTACGTGCCATCAAGTTCAAATTGTAAGCTGTGTATGTAGTAGTAGTAATCCTGTTGAAAGCTTTTGCGCATATTTCAGTTTTTCGTTAATTTTAGTCTCATTTGTCAATTAAATGTTATGCTTATTGTCACATACATATAAAAAAAATATATATAACACACGAAATTTCGGTGAAAAATTTACGTTTTGATTTGGCTATGTAGAAAGGAATGGTATTCGAAAAAATGCTAGGACTATACTCGTTCAACCAAATTAGATTGAAGAAATCACCATCGAAACTCGTGAGACCTCTTGTTCAGAAATTTTTATATTCCCTCGGGAGGAGAACACTTTCATGACAAAACATGCAAAGAGACGTACTTTTTGTAGGAAAGTTCCCTTTCATTTTTCGCAAAAATTTCAATAAAGACAATTTTCAAGATTTTGCAAAATACAACTAAGTGAGCAAAATTTATGCTGCCGGCATTGCACTCCAGGCTCGGAGCCAAATCCCAAATAACGCTGTCTGTATATGGAATAATTGGTCCCTATATATCGCTGCGTTATTATTAGAAAGGTGAGCCCGTAGCCAGTACACGGTAAACGTTTCCGCAATAAACATAATCGCTCTTAAGCCATACAAGCCTTTAGATGAATTTGGGTTTGTAATCGTGTCTGGTATATGGATTAGTTATTCGGCGCATACTTACCTAAGAGCTTGCCATCAACTCGTCGACTTCAAATAAGTCCACATTTAGGAAAAAATTTAATAGGCTGCAGCGGCTCTTCCATGCTTAACAGCATTTAATATCTAGAACTTATACGGGATCTTTTTACTATAGGCTTATACATATAGTATGCTTCATAATTGAATGACGATAGAGGGTGTAGATATTCTAGATTTGATCATGTTAATGCTCCAGACTTCATTCCAGAAGATTTCAAAAAACCGTATTAAACCAGTGCACGCTTCTGATTTGAAAGCGAGGATGGATTTGAGATTCAGCCGATTTCACTTCGTTCTTCAAACAGCAACAGCAGAAGAGAGGTATCCGTGACGATTTAAGTCCCATTGCAAGGCTTCGGAAAGAACGATGTCCGATCTGTAAACTTGTAAGAATCGAGAGCTCGCTCTAATACAGCTGCAGAAGTGTATTTTATCGCTCGCGGTCGACCACCGGTCAGAAAGACTTTGCAACTTTATATATTTTTGCCCAGCACTCACTTCCAAAGGTACTCTTATGCCTTCTCTTCCTAAGCAGATTGCCTCAAGGATATTTTGTTTAGCTAATTTCTCAGCCCTGAAATTTCCAGATTTTGCCATTGTACCGGGGGACCCAAAACTACTTGTTTTCAAAATACTCTGATGAGATTGAGAGATTAGTCAGGCATTTTCGGACATATTTCGATCGCACCATTAGCGATACTAAAGCACTGATTGCCATTGGCTATCAGAGTAGATGCATATTTACGCTTCTAATCGGTAATTAATATTTTAAAGCTGCCCCAAAATGGTGATAAATCCGGCAGTCTGGAAACGAAATTTACTGGGAGTTCCTGGCAAATTATGTACACCTCTCTAACACTACCTCCCAGCTTCGATCCTACCGTGAAAATATTTATTGGACTTCTATTACCGAGGCTGGAATTCTCACATTCGCCCCTTAGAAAATGTATATGGACAAGCGTCCGTTCGAGGCAAGCATCGGATATTTTCTATCCTTTTCTTCCCGTAAGAAAACGAGGTTTATGAGAATTGCCCCGATTTCTCGTACGCCGCGTTAAAAGAGAAACCAGAGCTTCTTAGCCTTGGGGCCTCGCGAGGTTTCTTAGCGATTTGTGTATTAAGGAAGACTTATAGCCAAATAGAGATTTGTCACAATAAATCGTTTCTCGGTCGCTGTAGCTGGTTGACCTTCTCACACTTTTAAATTTAAATGCAGCAGCTGCTAAATATTTTTACCGCGAAGATAAATTTAACAGGCAGTCGATAAAACGACCCTTAAAAGGCTTGACTTCTTTTCAAATATCACGCCTTAGAACTTGGCTCTGAATAAGAGCATGTCATTTCCGGCTCCTCTAGAATCTCGTTTGCAACGACGACCAGAAAAAAGAAGTGAACACCTCCATGCAGTGTACCTCTGCTCACTCTACGCTGGACAAAGGGGTTGACCCATTCCGCTGTGCCAGTTCTCAACTGCGAGGTATCATCCCGGGTGAGGGTAACACTTTTTAAAAGCTCCCTCGATATCTAAGCAACCGTTTTTCTTAAGAGACTGCTCAATAACTTTAGCGATTATATGCATGGCTGCTTTCACAGATCTACCTTTCAGGTAGGTATTCTGAGATACATGTCAATCAACTAACTTAAGTTCATCCATGAAGCTTTAATTGTTTTGTGCTTTGTTTTACTTAAATTCTCAAAGTGTCTGTATTAGAATGCACAACTTGGATATAATAATAATAATAGATTGGCGCTTACACATATGTTAGTGTTTGGCCGAGCTTCTCCTACGACTTGTGGCGTGCGCCTTGATGTTGTCACACAAAGCGGAGTGACCTACAGTTTTACGCCGACTCCGAACGGCGATTGTATTTTTATGAGAAGCTGTTTTCATGGCAGGAACACACTCGGAGGTTTGCCGTTGCCTGCCGAGGGACAACCGCTGTTAAGAAAAAACCTTTTTTCTATATTTTTTTTGCGATGTTGCTTTGACCAGGGTTTGAACCCAGGTGCTGCGGAGTGGAAGCGCGCACTGCTTACCACTACACCACAGCGGTCGAAAACCTGGATATAGGTGCCAAATTATAACTTTTATAAGAAGAAGCACCGAATTCCTAAAAAAACTATTGCGTACCATTTAAGAGCTAAATATTCAAAGCTTGGGTATAGCTATTTCTTACATAAATCTACATAAGTAAGCTGTGTAAAGGGAAGAAGCTATTACTATGTACAAATACACGTCAATTGTTGACGCTACATTAATTTATAGATTTCATATTTGAACTTGGCTTATTTATTATAGAAACTCGCCATAATTCGCTCTCTAGCAGTCCAGCCAAACGGTCCCTTCAAAATTGGCAGTAAACAAACGACAATTTCGATTTTGCATTGTCTACAGGCAGCTATACATAAATTACACAGTGATTTACCAACGCCTACAGCACAATATGAATGGACCACAAAGGACAGAAATGTGATCTTTACATCACACACACACACCCACTCAAGCATCACTTATCCATCAATTTGCATGCATATACACCCACACGCACGCATTTGCATGCATCAACATCAATTTCATCGAAGGAAGCACATAAATCGTTACTGTCCGACTGCCACAATTGACAACTTCGTTTTCATTTCCAAGCAGGAACTGCAGCAGGCAGTAGTAGTAAGTAGCACGTCAAGCACAAAAAAGAATAGCGAAAGTGGCAGGAAGAGAGAATACATACAAACAAACGCATGAACGAGTATGCAGCGATTGCATACATGCCAGAATTTGCATCTGCGGTCTGGACTTGCTCGCCCGTGTCCGCATACTTTGAATGCCTGTCACCCATTCGTCTTTGGCATATTTCCCTCATACAAACATATGTATGTACATATACTCTTACATACGTATCCTTATGCTTTTCGTCCTTGCCCAGTTAGCGATTGTTTTATGCGTTGCGGTTAACTATTCAATTCATCTTTCTTCCGGCTGCCACACGTGTGTGTGCATTGTCTTGGCATAAACATATCTATAAGTTAGTTTGTGTCCTCCTTCAGACAAAACGGATGTGCCACATGCAACGCATGTGTCGAACTTCGTTGATGGTATTGTCATTTGAAAGTGTTACATACAGATTGTCCTTCGACTCTTTTGCATGGCGTAGTAGTAATCAAAACAACAACAAAAGTGACAATTTAGTAGCACCAATAATGTCACATTGCGTCTGATACTGTTACTGTTGATGGTGCTTCAAAAAGTAGCAGGGTTTGTATTTGTGGCAAGAATATCATCGCACAAACACTTTTGAATTGAAGAGGCACAGATCATCATGAACATCGAAATATTTTTGGAATTGTACGTAGTAGCTGCATGCACGCACACGTTACGCAACAAAGTCATACACTTAAAATTGCAGTTAGCATAAGATGCCGCTTAAGGTTTGGCAACGTAGTTGTAGTAAATAACTTGCACTTTGTGCTGATTTAGTCCTTCACCTTTTCAATTGCGTTTTGTGCAACACCGTAGCTCATACTGGTTAGCTTTTCTCAATTCGGGTTTGGAATCAGGTATCAATGGAGCGACGAGTGGTAAGGTTCTCCGATCTACACAGGGATATATACATCTCACTGATCTCTCCCGCTTCTTCGCTGCACGAATCATAACCCTAGCACCTACGAAATCAACGACGACCCTCCTATCTACCTGGGCAAAGTAGATCAAACTGCAATCAGCCACGCTGATAGCACACCAATTCCGATGGCAAATAATGAGATTTTAGGGATTACTTTTCACCACTAGCTGCCCTTTTACATGTACACAACAGCTATTATTAATATAACTAGTACAGAGCCGCAACAAAATCCTTAAATCTTTCCCCGGCAGCACCATAAGCAAAAACAAAGAATTGATCTTGACTACGATTAAGCCAATTTTCCGGCCGGTTCTAAATTATGCGGCGCTTGCTTGGTCAACAGAAAATATTAAGTTGCAGTGGGGGAAGCTACAGACTTGTCAGAATGGCGCATTTCGTAAATAGTGCTCCCAGTTGCGGAGCACAATTTACTGCTCAGAAAATAGTAGTTTGTCTGCTACTACCGAAGCGATCATCGAACAGACAGTGGTTGTAAGCAGAGCTTCACCTCCCCCCCCATCCCCGGCCCCTCGCCCTCCTTTCCTTACGTTACCAAATTAGAAGGAACCTTTACTAACTAACGGACGAAATCAATACACGAGTATCCCCACCTCTGAACCCTAAAACGTACTGATGTGCCAAGTGCACGATATTCAGAGATTGCCCATCACCAGCTTCAGAGACTATCGCCTCATCAATATCGTAATTAGAGACTCATCGCAAGCCTCAGCTGTCATGAGGGACCCATGATAAAGTTAAATTCTGGATAATGCAATCGACTGGACTTTTATATATCCAAACTCAAACCCCAACATACGAAATATGCGATCGGCTTGTGAAGGCTCTCCACTC